TGGTGGCACAGATAGGTGCAGGCTCATGCCGCGCCAGCCGCCTGCGCCCTCCCGCACCTTAAGTCTTCTTGCCACCGGGCACAGGTGGGGAGGGGAGTGGAACAGAACGTTAGGTAGATGCAGTCAAAGTCTGTTTTCACCATAATCGAGCGCGAGTCACCGAGCCTGCACCGGCGTGTTGTGGACATCGTTGAAACCGACGGCCCAACTGTCGGGTACAGGGGCAGTCACTTGCGCGTTAATAAATTTATAGTGACAGTAGACTTGTGGTGCATTCTGCCTCACCCAACTCGACCTGGTGTCAAGGTGGAGCTAAGAAAAGCCAGACTAGGCGTGCCACAAAAGCGCACAACGAAATTCCGATCTGCTTAATAGTAGGCTGAGGGTTTCGACGGTCATTTACCTATGGTTCGACACACGCTTTGCCATCCCAGGCCAACTTCGCATGAAGACGTATAATAGAGATGTGCAGTGCCCCAATCGATCAGAGTGAGGGAGTTGAGAAGTTGACCCGACAAATAAGGCATGTATATAGTGGCTTTACTGGTAGTATAGGCCGATACTATTACCGGCAAAGATAAGGGAGACCGGAATGACCATTTCTGGCTTATATGCAATCGACAGCCACTCACATCCAGACCCAAGTGGTGTCCCACCAAAGCCTCGAACTTGCGACCTCTTTGCTTAGAGTCAAACGCCCAAACCATTGAGCCACAAGCTCGCTGTCTTGCCGGGTTAGGTCGAGAAATATTGACCCTCATTGATGGAATTTCACCCGACCGCTAACGGATGAGTTCCGTTAGCGGTCGCGAGTTCGAGACTACGCGTGCCGCACGCGGTAATACTATCTGCCTATACTACCAGCTATTACGGCTGTCAGGACCTCTGGTGGGGCCCAAGGCAGAGCGGAGCAGATGACTTTCGTTAGCGGTCGGGTGAGGGTTCATTAGTGAGTGGCTAAACTATCAATTGCAAACTGTCCTCAAATTCGTGTGCAGTGCAACCACAAAAAGAAACAGGCACCCCATCGGAAGAAATTTGCTTTTGTCCACTCATTGTTTATAAACCCAGTATGTTAAGCTACGATTTGGTAGCCAATCAACCGCTAAACTAAAAAAGAGCACGTGTAAATGTTGATATTTATATAGACACGTACCCCCAACCTTTAGTGCAAGGCAGCCCGCAATATGCAAACGGGGGCAAAAAAGATTTTACGGGTGGCACTTTGAAAGCCTAACCAAAAACTGAGTGGCCCTTTCTTTTTGCAATTAGTTACCTGCTCATTTCGCAAAAATGAGCGTAGAGCATTTGATTTATGAAATCTCGCGATTTCCTATTGGTCACCTATTCTGCGCCGGATTGAACTAAGAGCTATAGAATCTATCAAAACAAGCCTATTGCGCAAATTATGGTATGGCTTTTCATGTAACTTAAATCGTACTGTCCGTCCCTTTAAAGAGAACCAACCCTAAAATCTATTATACCATTATTCTAGTACCACAGATGTTGGGGGGAGGGTGCATGCCTTCATATCCTATTTATTATTCAAGCATACCGTAAATCAAGACAGGAAAAGGCAACATTTGGAATCAACTCACTTCGGCAACCGTCGTAGTGAGTCGGTCGGCATGACACTGATACTTCAGGGCAAGCAGTTGCTGCAAATACCAGGCAATATGCGCCCCTCCAACGCCCAGCCGTCTGCAGGCGGGTGGAATGAGACCAAGGGGATGGAACTGAGGACCGGAGAATGCCATGATGTGGGTATTATGGTACCCGAAGGAAACCATGAGTGTATCTGTCCCTGAGGAGAAACACAGTTCAGTAGATTTAGGTTAGTAGGCAATGCCTTTGAAGACCCTATTGAAAACTGTATGGAAATATAGTCAACATAAAATGCATACAATAAATATGTTACTATCAAATAGTTAGTAGC